GGGGCCCCACTGCTGGTGTCCATGGGGACCCATTGACGATGCCCATGGGGCCCCACCGCTGGTGTCCATGGGGACCCAATGATGGTGCCCATGGGGACCCATTGACGATGTCCATGGGGACCCACTGCTGGTGTCCATGGGGACCCATTGACGATGTCCATGGGGACCCACTGCTGGTGTCCATGGGGACCCACTGATGGTGTCCATGGGGACCCATTGACGATGTCCATGGGGACCCAATGATGCTGGGGACCCACTGCTGGTGTCCATGGGGACCCATTGACGATGCCCATGGGGACCCAATGACGATGTCCATGGGGACCCATTGACGATGCCCATGGGGACCCATTGACGATGCCCATGGGGACCCATTGACGATGTCCATGGGGACCCAATGACGATGCCCATGGGGACCCATTGACGATGCCCATGGGGACCCATTGACGATGTCCATGGGGACCCAATGACGATGTCCATGGGGACCCAATAATGGTGTCCATGGGGACCCACTGCTGGTGTCCATGGGGACCCATTGACGATGCCCATGGGGACCCATTGACGATGTCCATGGGGACCCAATGACGATGCCCATGGGGACCCATTGACGATGCCCATGGGGACCCAATGACGATGTCCATGGGGACCCACTGCTGGTGTCCATGGGGACCCATTGACGATGCCCATGGGGACCCACTGATGGTGTCCATGGGGACCCATTGACGATGCCCATGGGGACCCAATGACGATGTCCATGGGGACCCACTGCTGGTGTCCATGGGGACCCATTGACGATGCCCATGGGGACCCATTGACGATGCCCATGGGGACCCATTGACGATGCCCATAGGGACCCACCGCTGGTGTCCATGGGGACCCATTGACGATGCCCATGGGGACCCATTGACGATGCCCATGGGGACCCATTGACGGTGCCCATGGGGACCCACTGATGGTGTCCATGGGGACCCATTGACGATGCCCATGGGGCCCCATTGACGATGCCCATGGGGACCCACTGCTGGTGTCCATGGGGACCCATTGACGATGTCCATGGGGACCCATTGACGATGCCCATGGGGACCCATTGACGATGCCCATGGGGACCCATTGACGATGCCCATGGGGACCCATTGACGATGCCCATGGGGACCCATTGACGATGCCCATGGGGACCCAATGACGATGCCCACGGGGACCCATTGACGATGCCCACGGGGACCCATTGACGATGCCCATGGGGACCCACTGATGGTGTCCATGGGGACCCATTGGGGACCCAATGACAATGGTGTCCATGGGGACCCAATGATGATGTTCATGGGGACCCATTGACGATGCCCATGGGGACCCATTGACGATGCCCATGGGGACCCATTGACGATGCCCATGGGGACCCACTGCTGGTGCCCATGGGGACCCATTGACGATGCCCATGGGGACCCAATGACGATGTCCATGGGGACCCATTGACGATGCCCATGGGGCCCCATTGACGATGCCCATGGGGACCCATTGACGATGCCCATGGGGACCCATTGACGATGTCCATGGGGACCCATTGACGATGCCCATGGGGACCCATTGATGATGCCCATGGGGACCCATGTCCATGACCCGATGCCCATGGGGCCCCATTGACGATGCCCATGGGGCCCCATTGACGATGCCCATGGGGACCCATTGACGATGCCCATGGGGCCCCACTGCTGGTGTCCATGGGGACCCATTGACGATGCCCACGGGGACCCATTGACGATGCCCACGGGGACCCATTGACGATGCCCACGGGGACCCATTGACGATGCCCACGGGGACCCATTGACGATGCCCACGGGGACCCATTGACGATGCCCATGGGGACCCATTGACGATGCCCATGGGGACCCACTGATGGTGTCCATGGGGACCCATTGATGCTGGGGACCCAATGACAATGGTGTCCATGGGGACCCAATGATGATGTTCATGGGGACCCATTGACGATGCCCATGGGGACCCATTGACGATGCCCATGGGGACCCATTGACGATGCCCATGGGGACCCACTGCTGGTGCCCATGGGGACCCATTGACGATGCCCATGGGGACCCAATGACGATGTCCATGGGGACCCATTGATGATGCCCATGGGGCCCCATTGACGATGCCCATGGGGACCCATTGACGATGCCCATGGGGACCCATTGACGATGTCCATGGGGACCCAATGACGATGCCCATGGGGACCCATTGACGATGCCCATGGGGACCCAATGACGATGTCCATGGGGACCCATTGACGATGCCCATGGGGACCCATTGACGATGCCCATGGGGACCCAATGACGATGCCCATGGGGACCCAATGACGATGTCCATGGGGACCCATTGACGATGTCCATGGGGACCCAATGACGATGCCCATGGGGACCCAATGACGATGCCCATGGGGACCCATTGACGATGCCCATGGGGACCCATTGATGATGCCCATGGGGACCCATTGACGATGCCCACGGGGCCCCATTGACGATGCCCATGGGGCCCCATTGACGATGCCCATGGGGACCCATTGACGATGTCCATGGGGACCCATTGACGATGCCCATGGGGACCCATTGACGATGCCCATGGGGACCCATTGACGATGCCCATGGGGACCCACCGCCGGTGCTGCCCCCCGGCAGGGCCCAGTGGCTGACGGAGCCCAACGCCGACGCGGAGGAGCTCTTCCGCATGGTGGGCGAGGTCTTCATCTACTGGTCCAAGTCCCACGTGAGTGGGGCCAATGGGGGGCAATGGGAGGGGGGGACAAGGGGGTGGATGCGGGGGGAGCTGTGGGGCTCTGCCCCACACGTCCCCCTTAGGGTCCCTGCCCCATAGAACTTCAAGCGCGAGGAGCAGAACTTCGTGGTGCAGAACGAGATCAACAACATGTCCTTCCTGACGGCCGACAGCAAGAGCAAGATGGCCAAGGTGGGGCAGCAGCCCCACGGCGGGCCCCAGAGCGCCCCATAACCAACCCAGGGCCCCCCAACCCATCCATCAGTGCCCCTGGTACCCACAGAGCGCCCCATAACCAACCCAGTGCCCCCCATCCCATCCATCTCCATGCATCCCAATGGTCCTGGTACCCCTAAATCACCCCATAACCAACCCAGTGCCCCCCAACCCATCCATCAGTGCCCCTGGTACCCCCAAACCACCCCATAACCAACCCAGTGCCCCCCAACCCATCCATCAATTCCGCTGGTACCCCTAAATCACCCCATAACCAACCCAGCCCCATCCCTCCCCATCCATCCCAATGGTCCTGGTACCCCCAAACCCCCCCATAACCCCCCCAAACCGCCCCATAACCCCCCCAGTGCCCCCCACCCCATCATTCCCCATCCATCCCAATGGTCCTGGTACCCCCCAACTCCCCCCATAACCCCCCCAAACCGCCCCATAACCAACCCAGTGCCCCCCAACCCATCCCTTCCCATCCATCCCCATTGTCCCGTCACCCCCAAACCCCCCCATAACCCCCCCAAACCGCCCCATAACCCCCCCAGTGCCCCCCACCCCATCATTCCCCATCCATCCCAATGGTCCCGGTACCCCCAAACCCCCCCAAATCGCCCCATAACCAACCCATCCCCACCCCTCCCCATCCATCCCAATGGTCCCGGGACCCCCAAACTGCCCCATAACCAACCCAGTGAACCCCAACCCATCCATCCCCATCCACCCCCATGGTCCCTGGACCCCCAAGCGCCCCATAACCAACCCAGTGCCCCCCAACCCATCCATCCCCATCCATCCCAATGGTCCTGGTACCCCCAAACCGCCCCATAACCAACCCAGTGCCCCCCAACCCACCCCTCCCCATCCATCCCAATGGTCCTGGTACCCCCAAACCCCCCCATAAACCCCCCAAAACCTCCCCATAACCAACCCAGTGCCCCCCACCCCATCATTCCCCATTCATCCCAATGGTCCTGGTACCCCCAAACCGCCCCATAACCAACCCAGCCCCATCCCTCCCCATGCATCCCAATGGTCCCAGTACCCCCAAACCGCCCCATAACCAACCCAGTGCCTCCCAACCCATCCCTCCCCATCCATCCCCATGGTCCCGGGACCCCCAAAACGCCCCATAACCCCCCCAGTGCCCCCCAACCCACCCCTCCCCATTCATCCCAATGGTCCCGGGACCCCCAAGCCCCCCATAACCCCCCCAAACCGCCCCATAACCAACCCAGTGCCCCCCAACCCATCCATCAGTGCCCCTGGTACCCCCAAACCACCCCATAACCAACCCAGTGCCACCCAACCCATCCATCAATGCCGCTGGTACCCCTAAATCACCCCATAACCAACCCAGCCCCACCCCTCCCCATCCATCCCAATGGTCCTGGTACCCCCAAACCCCCCCATAACCCCCCCAGTGCCCCCCAACCCACCCCTCCCCATCCACCCCCATGGTCCCGGGACCCCCAAGCGCCCCATAACCCCCCAAACCACCCCATAACCAACCCATTCCCATCCATCCCCATTCATCCCAATGGTCCTGGTACCCCCAAAACCGCCCCATAACCAACCCAGTGCCCCCCAACCCATCCATCCCCATCCATCCCAATGGTCCCAGGACCCCCAAGCCCCCCAAACCGCCCCATAACCAACCCAGTGCCCCCCAACCCACCCATCCCCACCCCTCTCCATCCATCCCAATGGTCCCGGTACCCCCAACTCCCCCCAAATCGCCCCATAACCAACCCATCCCCACCCCTCCCCATCCACCCCCATGGTCCCGGGACCCCCAAGCGCCCCATAACCCCACCAGGACCTAATCCTGTCTCTTCTCTCCTCCTGCCTGTGGGTGCTGACCCCCAGTCCGGAGATGGCCAGGTCAGTGGGGGGGGACCCCAGAGCCCTCCGGGGCACCCCCCTATGGGGACATGGGGGGTCCTGCCCCATAGGCTCACAGCTGGGGGGACATCGGGGGGTCCTGCCCCATAGGCTCACAGCTGGGGGGACATGGGGGGTCCTGCCCCATAGGCTCACAGCTGGGGCCGGGGGGACATGGGGGGGTCCTGCCCCATAGGCTCACAGCTGGGGGGACATGGGGGGGTCCTGCCCCATAGGCTCACAGCTGGGGGGACATGGGGGGTCCTGCCCCATAGGCTCACAGCTGGGGGGACATGGGGGGTCCTGCCCCATAGGCTCACAGCTGGGGGGACATGGGGGGGTCCTGCCCCATAGGCTCACAGCTGGGGGGACATGGGGGGGTCCTGCCCCATAGGCTCACAGCTGGGGCTGGGGGCACCGGGGCTCCCATCGCTGCCTCGTCCCTTTGCTATGGGGCTCCCATCCCTTTGCTATGGGGCTCCCATCCCTTTGCTATGGGGCTCCCATCGCTGCCCCATCCCTTTGCTATGGGGCTCCCATCCCTTTGCTATGGGGCTCCCATCGCTGCCTCGTCCCTTTGCTATGGGGCTCCCATCCCTTTGCTATGGGGCTCCCATCCCTTTGCTATGGGGCTCCCATCGCTGCCTCATCCCTTTGCTATGGGGCTCCCATCGCTGCCCCATCCCTTTGCTATGGGGCTCCCATCGCTGCCCCATCCCTTTGCTATGGGGCTCCCATCGCTGCCCCATCCCTTTGCTATGGGGCTCCCATTGCTCCTCCCCTCCCTTTGCTATGGGGCTCCCATCCATTTGCTATGGGGCTCCCATCCCTTTGCTATGGGGCTCCCTTCCCTTTGCTATGGGGCTCCCATCCCTTTGCTATGGGGCTCCCATCCCTTTGCTATGGGGCTCCCATCCCTTTGCTATGGGGCTCCCATCGCTGCCCCATCCCTTTGCTATGGGGCTCCCATCGCTGCCCCATCCCTTTGCTATGGGGCTCCCATCCCTTTGCTATGGGGCTCCCATCCCTTTGCTATGGGGCTCCCATCCCTTTGCTATGGGGCTGCCATCGCTGCCTCATCCCTTTGCTATGGGGCTCCCATTCCCCCCCCCCCCCTTTGCTATGGGTCCCCCATCTCTCTCTATGGGTCCCATCGCTGTCCCTATCCCTTAACTATGGGTCCCCCCTCCTTTCGCTATGGGTCCCAATCCCTTCCCCATGGCTCTCTATGGGTCCCAATCCCTTCCCCATCGCTCTCTATGGGTCCCAATCCCTTCCCCATGGCTCTCTATGGGTCCCAATCCCTTCCCCATCGCTCTCTATGGGTCCCAATCCCTTCCCCATCACTCTCTATGGGTCCCAATCCCTGCCCCATGGCTCTCTATGGGTCCCAATCCCTGCCCCATCACTCTCTATGGGTCCCAATCCCTTCCCCATGGCTCTCTATGGGTCCCAATCCCTTCCCCATGGCTCTCTATGGGTCCCAATCCCTTTCCCATGGCTCTCTATGGGTCCCAATCCCTGCCCCATGGCTCTCTATGGGTCCCAATCCCTGCCCCATGGCTCTCTATGGGTCCCAATCCCTGCCCCATGGCTCTCTATGGGTCCCAATCCCTTCCCCATGGCTCTCTATGGGTCCCAATCACTTCTCCATCACTCTCTATGGGTCCCAATCACTGAGCCATCGCTCTCTATGGGTCCCAATCCCTTCCCCATCGCTCTCTATGGGTCCCAATCCCTTCCCCATCGCTCTCTATGGGTCCCAGTCCCTTCTCCATCGCTCTCTATGGGTCCCAATCCCTTCCTCATCGCTCTCTATGGGTCCCAATCACTGAGCCATCACTCTCTATGGGTCCCAATCCCTTCCCCATCGCTCTCTATGGGTCCCAATCCCTTCCCCATCGCTCTCTATGGGTCCCAATCCCTCCCCCATGGCTCTCTATGGGTCCCAATCCCTTCTCCATCACTCTCTATGGGTCCCCCATGGCTCTCTATGGGTCCCAATCCCTTCTCCATCACTCTCTATGGGTCCCCCATGGCTCTCTATGGGTCCCAATCCCTTCTCCATCGCTCTCTATGGGTCCCAATCCCTGCCCCATCACTCTCTATGGGTCCCAATCACTTCCCCATGGCTCTCTATGGGTCCCAATCCCTTCCCCATCGCTCTCTATGGGTCCCAATCCCTTCTCCATCACTCTCTATGGGTCCCAATCCCTTCCCCATCACTCTCTATGGGTCCCAATCCCTTCCCCATCGCTCTCTATGGGTCCCAATCCCTTCCCCATCACTCTCTATGGGTCCCAATCACTTCCCCATGGCTCTCTATGGGTCCCAATCCCTTCCCCATCGCTCTCTATGGGTCCCAATCCCTTCCCCATGGCTCTCTATGGGTCCCAATCCCTTCCCCATGGCTCTCTATGGGTGCCAATCACTTCCCCATGGCTCTCTATGGGTCCCAATCACTTCTCCATCACTCTCTATGGGTCCCAATCCCTGCCCCATGGCTCTCTATGGGTCCCAATCCCTTCCCCATGGCTCTCTATGGGTCCCAATCCCTTCCCCATGGCTCTCTATGGGTCCCAATCCCTTCCCCATGGCTCTCTATGGGTCCCAATCCCTTCCTCATCGCTCTCTATGGGTCCCAATCACTGAGCCATCACTCTCTATGGGTCCCAATCCCTTCTCCATCGCTCTCTATGGGTCCCAATCCCTTCTCCATCACTCTCTATGGGTGCCCCATGGCTCTCTATGGGTCCCAATCAGTTCTCCATCACTCTCTATGGGTCCCTATCCCTTCTCCATCACTCTCTATGGGTCCCCCATCACTCTCTATGGGTCCCAATCCCTTCCCCATGGCTCTCTATGGGTCCCAATCCCTGCCCCATGGCTCTCTATGGGTCCCAATCCCTTCTCCATCACTCTCTATGGGTCCCCCATCACTCTCTATGGGTCCCAATCCCTGCCCCATCGCTCTCTATGGGTCCCAATCACTTCCCCATGGCTCTCTATGGGTCCCAATCCCTTCCCCATGGCTCTCTATGGGTCCCAATCCCTTCCCCATGGCTCTCTATGGGTCCCAATCCCTTCCCCATGGCTCTCTATGGGTCCCAATCCCTTCCCCATGGCTCTCTATGGGTCCCAATCCCTTCCCCATCACTCTCTCTGGGTCCCCCATCACTCTCTATGGGTCCCCCATGGCTCTCTCTGGGTCCTGCCCCCCAGGGCCCCCCCGAGCGCCGCGCGGGCGCCCCCCGCCGTGGGGACCGGTACTCGGTGCGCACCTCGCTCATCGTGGCCACGCTCCCCATCCCTTCGCTATGGGTCCCAATCCCTGCCCCATGGCTCTCTATGGGTCCCAATCCCTTCTCCATCACTCTCTATGGGTCCCAATCCCTTCCCTATGGCTCTCTATGGGTCCCAATCACTTCTCCATCACTCTCTATGGGTCCCAATCCCTTCTCCATCACTCTCTATGGGTCCCAATCCCTTCCCCATGGCTCTCTATGGGTCCCAATCACTTCTCCATCACTCTCTATGGGTCCCAATCACTTCTCCATGGCTCTCTATGGGTCCCAATCCCCTCTCCATCACTCTCTCTGGGTGCCCCATGGCTCTCTATGGGTCCCCCATCACTCTCTATGGGTCCCCCATGGCTCTCTATGGGTCCCCCATGGCTCTCTCTGGGTCCTGCCCCCCAGGGCCCCCCCGAGCGCCGCGCGGGCGCCCCCCGCCGTGGGGACCGGTACTCGGTGCGCACCTCGCTCATCGTGGCCACGCTCAAGAAGCTGCTCCCCATCGGCCTCAACCTCTGCTCCCCCGCAGACCAGGAGCTCATGGCCATGGCCAAGGGGCGCTACGCCATGGTGGGGGAGGGGCAGCCATGGGGGGGGAGGGGGGGGGGAGGGGGGCACCCATGGGGGGGGAGGGGGGGAGCCATGGGGGGAGATGGGGGGACCTATGGGGGGAGGGGGGAGCCATAGAGGGGTTGGGGGGGAGGGGGAGCCATGGGGGGGGGGGGGATGGGGTTATGGGGGGAGGGGTGGGACCCATGGGGGGGGGGGGAGGGGGGACCCATGGGGGGACATGGGGGGGGATGGGGTAATGGGGTTGTGGGGTGGGATGGAGCCATGGGGGGGAATGGGGGGCTGGGGGGGAATGGACCCATAGAGGGGGTGGGGGAGATGGGGTATTGGGGTTGTCGGGGGGATGGACCCATAGAGGGGTTATGGGGTGATGGGGTTATGGGGTTGTGGGGCTATGGGGGTGACGGGGTCATGGGGCTATGGGGGTGATGGGGTTATGGGACTGATGGGGTTGTGGGTCAGTTATGGGGGTGAGGGGGTTGTGGGTTGGTTATGGGGGTTATGGGGTTGTGGGGCTATGGGGGTTATGGGGTTGTGGGTCGGTTATGGGGGTGTCAGGGTTATGGGGCTGATGGGGTTATGGGGCTATGGGGCTGATGGGGTTATGGGGCAGTTATGGGGCTGATGGAGTTGTGGGTCAGTTGTGGGGCTTCACCCCCTTGAGGGCCCCCTCCTGAGCCGGTTCCGCTCTGTGCCCCACAGAAGGACACGGACGAGGAGGTGCGGGAGTTCCTGAGCAACAACCTGCACCTGCAGAGCAAGGTAGCGCCCCTCCAGCCCCACTGAGACCCACTGAGACCCACTGAGACCCATTGAACCCCACTGAACCCCATTGAATCCCATTGCACCCCACTGAACCCCATTGAGCCCCATTGAGATCCATTGAGACCCATTGAGACCCACTGAGCCCCACTGAGCCTCATTGAGCCCCATTGAGACCCATCGAACCCCATTGAACCCCATTGAACCCCACTGAGCCCCACTGAGCCCCACTGAGCCCCATTGAGATCCATTGAGACCCATTGAACCCCTTTGAGACCCATTGGGACCCATTGAACCCCATTGAGCCCCATTGAGCCCCACTGAGACCCATTGAGCCCCATTGAGCCCCATTGATCCCCATTGAACCCCATTGAGCCCCATTGAGATCCATTGAGCCCCATTGAACCCCATTGAACCCCATTGAACCCTATTGAGCCCCATTGAACCCCATTGACCCCATTGAACCCCATTGATCCCCATTGATCCCCATTGCCCCCAATACCCCACATTGCCCTTCATTGAACTCCATTGAACCCCATTGACCCCACTGCCCCCATTGAGCCCCATTGAACCCCATTGACCCCATTGAACCCCATTGACCCCACTGAGCCCCATTGAGCCCCATTGAACCCCATTGAACCCCATTGAGCCCCATTGAGATCCATTGAGCCCCATTGAACCCCATTGAGATCCATTGAGCCCCATTGAGCCCCATTGAGACCCATTGAGACCCATTGACCCCATTGAGCCCCATTGACCCCATTGAGCCCCATTGAACCCCATTGACCCCATTGAACCCCATTGATACCCATTGAGCCCCACTGAGCCCCATTGAACCCCATTGATCCCCTTTGAGATCCATTGACAACCACTGAGCCCCACTGAGCCCCATTGAGACCCATTGAGCCCGATTGAGCCCCATTGACCCCCATTGCCCCCCATTACCCCCATTGCCCCCCATGTCGCAGGTGGAGAACAGCTCCTCGCTGCGCTGGCAGCTGGATCTGTACCGGGAGCTCGCCGGGAAGGCGGCGGACGCCGAGAGCCCCGAGCGCGTCGTGCGCAGGGTGCAGGAGGTGGCGGCCGTGCTCTACCACCTCGAGCAGGTCTGTGCCCATTGGGTGCCATTGGGTGCCATTGGGTGCCGTTGGGTGTCATTGGGTGCCATTGGGTGTCGTTGGGTGTCATTGAGTGCCTTTGGGTGCCATTGGTGTCATTGAGTGCCATTGGGTCATGGGGTCCCCATTGGGATCGTGCGCAGGGTGCAGGAGGTGGCGGCCGAGCAGGTCTGTGCCCATTGGGTGCCATTGGGTGCCGTTGGGTGTCGTTGGGTGTCATTGGGTGTCATTGGGTGCCGTTGGGTGTCATTGGGTGCCATTGGTGCCATTGGGTGCCATTGGGTGCCGTTGAGTGCCGTTGGGTGCCATTGGGTGTCGTTGGGTGCCATTGGGTGTCATTGAGTGCCATTGGGTACCATTGAGTGCCATTGGGTGTCCTTGGTTGCCATTGGTGTCATTGAGTGCCATTGGTGTCATTGAGTGCCATTGGGTGCCATTGGGTGCCATTGGTGCCGTTGGGTGCCATTGGGTGTCATTGGGTGTTGTTGAGTGTCATTGGGTGTCACTGAGTGCCGTTGGGTGTCATTGAGTGCCGTTGGGTGCCATTGGTGCCACTGGGTGTCATTGGGTACCCTTGGGTGCCGTTGGGTGCCGTCTGGTGTCGTTGAGTGCTGTTGGGTGCCGTTGGGTGTCATTGGGTGTCATTGGGTGCCATTGGGTGCCATTGGGTGCCGTTGGGTGCCGTCTGGTGTCGTTGAGTGCTGTTGGGTGCCGTTGGGTGCCGTTGGGTGTCATTGAGTGTCGTTGGGTGCCATTGGGTGCCATTGGGTGCCATTGGGTGTCATTGAGTGCCGTTGGGTCATGGGGTCCCCATTGGGATCGTGCGCAGGGTGCAGGAGGTGGTGGCCGTGCTCTACCACCTCGAGCAGGTCTGCGCCCATTGGGTGCCGTTGGGTGTCGTTGAGTGTCATTGGGTGTCATTGGGTGCCATTGGGTGTCGTTGGGTGTCATTGGGTGTCGTTGGGTGCCGTTGGGTGCCGTTGGCTGTCGTTGAGTGCAGTTGGGTGCCGTTGGGTGCCATTGGGTGCCGTTGGGTGACATTGAGTGCAGTTGAGTGTCGTTGAGTGCCATTGGGTGCCATTGGGTCATAGGGTGTCATTGAGTGCCATTGGGTGCCATTGGGTGCCATTGGGTGCCATTGAGTGCAGTTGGGTGTTATTGAGTGCCATTGGGTGCCATTGGGTCATTGGGTGCCATTGGGTGTCATTGAGTGCCATTGGGTGTCATTGAGTGCCATTGGGTGCCATTGGTGTCATTGAGTGCCGTTGGGTCATGGGGTCCCCATTGGGATCGTGTGCAGGGTGCAGGAGGTGGCGGCCGTGCTCTACCACCTCGAGCAGGTCTGCGCCCATTGGGTGCCGTTGGGTGTCATTGAGTGTCGTTGGGTGCCGTTGGGTGCCATTGGTGCCACTGGGTGTCATTGGGTACCATTGGGTGCTGTTGGGTGCCGTTGGGTGCTGTTGGGTGTCATTGAGTGCCATTGGGTGCCATTAAGTGCCGTTGGGTGTTATTGAGTGCCGTTGGGTGCCATTGGGTCATTGGGTGCCATTGGGTGTCATTGAGTGCCATTGGGTGCCATTGAGTGCCATTGGGTGTCCTTGGTTGCCATTGAGTGCCATTGGGTGTCCTTGGTTGCCATTGAGTGCCTTTGGGTGCCATTGGTGTCATTGAGTGCGTTGGGTCATGGGGTCCCCATTGGGATCGTGCGCAGGGTGCAGGAGGTGGCGGCCGTGCTCTACCACCTCGAGCAGGTCTGCACCCATTGGGTGCCGTTGGGTGTCATTGAGTGTCGTTGGGTGCCGTTGGGTGCCATTGGTGCCACTGGGTGTCATTGGGTACCATTGGGTGCCGTTGGGTGCCGTTGGGTGCCGTTGGGTGTCATTGAGTGCCATTGGGTGCCATTGAGTGCCATTGGGTGTCCTTGGTTGCCATTGAGTGCCTTTGGGTGCCATTGGTGTCATTGAGTGCGTTGGGTTATGGGGTCCCCGTTGGGATCGTGTGCAGGGTGCAGGAGGTGACGGCCGTGCTCTACCACCTCGAGCAGGTCTGTGCCATTGGGTGTCGTTGGGTGCCATTGAGTGCAGTTGGGTGTCATTGGGTGTCATTGAGTGCCGTTGGGTGCCGTTGGGTGCCATTGGTGCCACTGGGTGTCATTGGGTACCATTGGGTGCCGTTGGATGTCGTTGAGTGCCATTGGGTGCCATTGGGTGCCATTGAGTGCAGTTGGGTGTTATTGAGTGCCATTGGGTGCCATTGGGTGCCATTGGGTGCCATTGGGTGTCATTGGGTCATGGGGGTCCCCATTGGGATCGTGCGCAGGGTGCAGGAGGTGGCGGCCGTGCTGTACCACCTCGAGCAGGTCTGCGCCATTGGGCGCCGTTGGGTGCCGTTGGTGCCGTTGGGTGCCATTGGGTCATTGGGTGCCATTGGGTGTCATTGAGTGCCATTGGGTGTCATTGAGTGCCATTGAGTGTCATTGGTGCCATTGGGTGCCATTGGGTGTCATTGGGTGCCCTTGGGTGCCATTGAGTGCCATTGGGTGCCGTTGGGTGCCATTGGGTGCTGTTGGGTGCCGTTGGATGCCATTGGGTGCCATTGAGTGCAGTTGGGTGTCGTTGAGTGCCATTGGGTGCCATTGAGTGCAGTTGGGTGTTATTGAGTGCGATTGGGTGCCATTGGGTACCATTGGGTGCCGTTGGGTGCCATTGGGTACCATTGGGTGCCACGGGCGCCCATTGGGTGCTGAGGGCTCCCATTGGGTGTCGCGCAGACGGAGCACGCCTTCCGCTCCAAGAGGGCCGTGTGGCACAAGCTCCTCTCCAAGCAGCGGCGCCGCGCCGTGGTCGCCTGCTTCCGCATGGCCCCGCTCTACAACCTGCCCAGGTGCGCGCCGCCGGGAGCCAATGGGAGCCAGCGGGGGACAACGGGGGCCAATGGGAGGCAACGGGGGCCAACGGGGGCCAATGGGAGGCAACGGGGGCCAACGGGGGCCAATGGGAGGCAACGGGGGCCAACGGGGGTCAATGGGAGGCAACGGGGGCCAACGGGGGCCAATGGGAGGCAACGGGGGCCAACGGGGGCCAATGGGAGGCAACGGGGGCCAACGGGGGCCAATGGGAGACAACGGGGGCCAAGGGGAGGCACTGGTTTGAACTGGTTTGAACTGGTTTGAACTGGGTTTGAACTGGTTTGAACTGGGTTTGAACTGGGTTTGAACTGGGTTTAACTGGGTTTGAGCTGGGTTTGAACTGGTTTGAACTGGTTTGAACTGGGTTTGAACTGGGTTTGAACTGGGTTTGAACTGGTTTGAACTGGGTTTGAACTGGTTTGAACTGGTTTGAACTGGTTTGAACTGGTTTGAACTGGTTTGAACTGGTTTGAACTGGGTTTGAACTGGTTTGAACTGGTTTGAACTGGTTTGAACTGGGTTTGAACTGGGTTTGAACTGGTTTGAACTGGTTTGAACTGGGTTTGAACTGGTTTGAACTGGTTTGAACTGGTTTGAACTGGTTTGAACTGGGTTTGAACTGGTTTGAACTGGTTTGAACTGGTTTGAACTGGTTTGAACTGGGTTTGAACTGGTTTGAACTGGTTTGAACTGGGTTTGAACTGGTTTGAACTGGTTTGAACTGGTTTGAACTGGTTTGAACTGGTTTGAACTGGTTTGCTCCGGTCCCGCAGGCACCGCGCCTGCAACCTCTTCCTGGAGGCCTACAGAGCTCAGTGGCTGCAGCCGCAGGAGCACCCCTTCGAGGACCGCATGATCGACGACCTGGCCGTGAGCAGCGCCCCATAGCGCCCCATAGCACCCCATAGCACTGACCCATAGCGCCCCATAGCGCCCCATAGCGCTGACCCATAGCGCCCCATAGCGCCCCATAGCGCCCCATAGCACTGACCCACAGCACCCCATAGCGCTGACCCATAGCGCCCCATAGTGCTGACCCATAGTGCTGACCCATAGTGCCCCATAGCGCTGACCCACAGCACCCCATAGCGCTGACCCATAGCGACCCATAGCGCCCCATAGCGCTGACCCATAGCGCTGACCCACAGCGCCCCATAGCACCCCATAGCACTGACCCATAGCGCCCCATAGCGCCCCATAGTGCTGACCCATAGCGCTCCATAGCGCCCCATAGTGCTGACCCATAGCACTGACCCATAGCACCCCATAGCACTGACCCATAGCGCCCCATAGCGCCCCATAGTGCTGACCCATAGCGCTCCATAGCGCCCCATAGTGCTGACCCATAGCGCTGACCCATAGCGCTGACCCATAGCGCCCCATAGTGCCCCATAGCGCTGACCCACAGCGCCCCATAGCACCCCATAGCACTGACCCATAGCGCCCCATAGCGCCCCATAGTGCTGACCCATAGCACTGACCCATAGCGCCCCATAGCGCTGACCCACAGCGTCCCATAGCGCCCCATAGCGCTGACCCACAGTGCCCCATAGCACCCCATAGCGCTGACCCATAGCGCTGACCCATAGCGCCCCATAACGCTGACCCATAGCGCCCCATAGCGCTGACCCATAGCGCTCCATAGCGCCCCATAGCGCTGACCCATAGCGCTGACCCATAGCGCCCCATAGCGCCCCATAGCGCTGACCCATAGCGCCCCATAGCGCCCCATAGCGCCGACCCATAGCGCCCCATAGCACTGACCCATAGCGCCCCATAGCGCCCCATAGCGCTGACCCATAGCGCCCCATAGCGCCCCATAGCGCTGACCCACAGCGCCCCATAGCGCCCCATAGCGCCCCATAGCACTGACCCATAGCGCCCCATAGCGCCCCATAGCGCTGACCCATAGCGCCCCATAGCGCCCCATAGTGCTGACCCATAGCGCCCCATAGCGCATCATAGCGCTGACCCATAGCGCCCCATAGCGCCCCATAGCGCTGACCCATAGCGCTGACCCACAGTGCCCCATAGCGCCCCATAGCGCTGACCCACAGTGCCCCATAGCGCCCCATAGCGCTGACCCATAGCGCTGACCCACAGCGCTGACCCACAATGCTCAATAGCGCTGACCCACAGCGCTGATCCATAGCACTGACCCACAGCTCCCCATAGTGCCCCATAGCGCTGACCCATAGCACTGACCCACAGCGCCCCATAGCGCTGACCCATAGCGCCCCATAGCGCCCCATAGCGCTGACCCATAGCGCTGACCCACAGTGCTGACCCACAGCGCTCCATAGCACTGACCCACAGCGCTGACCCATAGCACTGACCCACAGCTCCCCATCGCGCCCCATAGCGCTGACCCATAGCACTGACCCACAGCGCCCCATAGCGCCCCATAGCTCTGACCCATAGCACTGACCCATAGCGCCCCATAGCGCTGACCCATAGCACCCCATAGCGCCCCATAGCACTGACCCACAGCACCCCATAGCACTGACCCATAGCGCTGACCCATAGCGCCCCATAGCGCTGACCCACTGCGCCCCATAGCGCCCCATAGCGCCCCATAGCGCCCCATAGTGCTGACCCACAGCACCCCATAGCGCCCCATAGCGCTGACCCATAGCGCTGACCCACAGTGCCCCATAGCGCTGACCCATAGCGCCCCATAGCGCTGAACCACAGCGCCCCATAGCGCTGACCCACATCACCACATAGTGCTGACCCACAGCGGTCACATAGCGCTGACCCACAGCGCCCCATAGCACTGACCCACATCACCACATAGCGCTGCCCCACAGCGCCCCATAGCGCTGCCCCACACCGGCCCCATAGCGCTGCCCCGCATCACCCCCATAGCACTGCCCCACACTGGCCCCATAGCGCTGCCCCCCATTGGCCCCATAGCGTTGCCCCATGTCAGACCCATTGTGACCCCCATTGTGAGCCCTATTGCATGCCCCATTGCGAGCCCCATTGCGTGCCCCATTGCGAGCCCCATTGCGAGCCCCATTGCGTGCCCCATTGCGAGCCCCATTGCGTGCCCCATTGCGAGCCCCATTGCGTGCCCCATTGTGAGCCCCATTGTGAGCCCCATTGTGACCCCCATTGCGAGCCCCATTGCGAGCCCTACTGCGTGCCCCATTGCGAGCCCCATTGCGAGCCCCATTGTGACCCCCATTGCGAGCCCCATTGCGAGCCCTACTGCGTGCCCCATTGCGAGCCCCATTGCGAGCCCCATTGCGAGCCCCATTGCGAGCCCCATTGTGCGCCCCATTGCGTGCCCCATTGGGAGCCCCATTGCGTGCCCCATTGCGTGCCCCATTGCGAGCCCCCCCATTGCGTGCGTGCCCCATTGCGAGCCCCATTGCGTGCCCCACTGCGTGCCCCATTGCTGCGTGCCCCATTGCGTGCCCCATTGCGAGCCCCATTGCGTGCCCCATTGCGTGCCCCATTGCGTGCCCCATTGCGAGCCCCATTGCGTGCCCCATTGCGTGCCCCATTGCGTGCCCCATTGTGAGCCCCATTGCGAGCCCCATTGCGTGCCCCATTGTGAGCCCCATTGCGAGCCCCATTGCGAGCCCCATTGCGTGCCCCATTGCGTGCCCCATTGCGAGCCCCATTGCGTGCCCCATTGCGTGCCCCATTGCGAGCCCCATTGCGAGCCCCATTGCGAGCCCCATTGCGAGCCCCATTGCGACCCCCATTGCGTGCCCCATTGCGAGCCCCATTGCGAGCCCCATTGCGAGCCCCATTGCGAGCCCCATTGCGAGCCCCATTGCGAGCCCCATTGCGAGCCCCATTGCGAGCCCCATTGCGAGCCCCATTGCGTGCCCCATTGCGAGCCCCATTGCGAGCCCCATTGTGAGCCCCTGCTTTGGGGTCGCAGCGCTCGGGGCAGGAGGAGGAGGAGGAGGAGGAGGAAGAGGAGAAGAAGCCGGACCCACTGCACCAGCTCGTGCTGCACTTCAGCCGCACGGCCCTCACCGAGGGCAGGTGGGGGGCAATGGGGGGCAGTGGGGCAATGGGGTAATGGGGGGCAGTGGGGCAATGGGGAGCAATGGGGCGGGGGGGGCAATAGGGCAATGGGGGGCAATGGGGGGCAGTGGGGGTAATGGGGGGCAGTGGGGCAATGGGGAGCAATGGGGCGGGGGGGGCAATGGGGCAATGGGGGGCAATGGGGGGATCAATGGGGGGCAATGGGGGGGCAATGGGGGTAATGGGGGGCAATGGGGCAATGGGGGGCTATGGGGGGTAATGGGGCAATGGGGCAATGGGGGGCAGTGGGGCGGGGGGGCAATGGGGTAATGGGGGGCAATGGGGGGCAATGGGGCAATGGGGGGCAATGGGGTGGGGGGGCAATGGGGCAGTGGGGGCAGTGGGGCGGGGGGGGCAATGGGGTAATGGGGGAGCTATGGGGGGCAATGGGGCAATGGGGAGCAATGGGGCAATGGGACAATGGGGGCAGTGGGGTGGGGGGGCAATGGGGCAGTGGGGGGGCAGTGGGGCAATGGGTGGCAGTGGGGCAATGGGGCAATGGGGATGGGGGGCAATGGGGGAAATGGGGCAATGGGGATGGGGGCAGTGGGGGGGCAATGGGGGGCAATGGGGCAATGGGGGGCAATGGGGCAATGGGGGCAGTGGAGGGCAATGGGGGGCAATGGGGATGGGGGGGCAATGGGGAGCAATGGGGCAATGGGGGCCAATGGGGCAATGGGGGGCAATGGGTCAATGGGGATGGGGTCAGTGGGGCAATGGGGGCAGTGGGGGGGCAATGGGGTAATAAGGGGCAATGGGGAGCAATGGGGCAATGCGGGCAATGGGGGGCAGTGGGGTGGGGGGGCAATGGGGTAATGGGGGGCAATGGGGGGGCAATGGGGCAATGGGGGGGCAATGGGGCAATGGGGGGCAATGGGGGGCAGTGGGGCGGGGGGCAATGGGGATGGGGGGCAATGGGGGGAAATGGGGCAATGGGGGTCAGTGGGGATGGGGGCAATGGGGGGCAATGGGGCAATGGGGATGGGGGGCAATGGGGTGCTCAGAGTGGTGCCCCCCATCTGCCCCCCCCCGCCCCATGGTGGATGTGGGGCTCCCCCCCCCCATTGCCTGCAGCAAACTGGAGAGCGACCACTTGTACATGGCCTACGCCGGCATCATGGCCAAGGTGGGGCCTGCCCCATAGCGCCCCATGGAGCCCAGCCCCCCAAGTGTGGGGCAGGGCCCTGGTGCCCCCCCCCCCCCGGTATGGGGCGCTGAGGCCTTGCCCCCCCCCCCCCAGAGCTGCCACATTGAGGAGGAGGAGGAGGAAGAGGAGGAGGAGAAGGGGGAGGAAGAAGAGGAGGATTCCTTTGAGGTGGGCACTTATGGGGCCTATGGGGCACGCATGGGGCCTATGGGGCACGCATGGGGCCTATGGGGCACCCATGGAGCCCATGGGACCTATGGGGCACTTATGGGGCCTATGGGGCACTTATGGGGCCTATGGGGCACCCAGTGAGCCCATAGGGACCTTATGAGCACCCAATGAGCCCATGGGACCTATGGGGCACTTATGGGGCCTATGGGGCACCCACTGAGCCCATGGGGCTGTGGGGGCTCAATGACTCCATATGGACCCTATGAGCTCATAGGAGCCCATCTAGACCCACTGATCCCCCCTGGCCCCACTGATCCCCCCTGGCCCCACTGATCCCCCCTGGCCCCACTGAACCCTCCCCGGCCCCACTGATCCCCCCTGGCCCCACTGATCCCCCCCCGGCCCCACTGATCCCCCCCGGCCCCACTGAACCCCCCCGGCCCCACTGATCCCCCCCTGGCCCCACTGATCCCCCCCGGCCCCACTGATCCCCCCTGGCCCCACTGAACCTTCCCTGGCCCCACTGACCCCCCCTGGCCCCACTGATCCCCCCCTGGCCCCATCTAGACCCACTGATCCCCCCTGGCCCCACTGATCCCCCCTGGCCCCGCTGATCCCCCCTGGCCCCACTGATCCATGCTGGCCCCACTGAACCCTCCCCGGCCCCACTGAACCCCCCTGGCCCCACTGACACCCGGCCCACTGACCCCCTCCAGCCCCACAGCCCCCACAGCCCCACAGCCCCCCCGCCCCACTGACCCCAGCCCCACAGCCCCCCACAGCGCCACAGCCCCACAGTCCCCCCACAGCCCCACAGCCCCTCCCTGCCCCACAGCCCCACAGCCCCACTGACCCCCAGCCCCTCCCTGCCCCACTGACCCCCTCCAGCCCCACAGCCCCCCGCTGCCCCGCTGCCCCACACCCCCCCCAGCCCCACTGCCCCCCAGCCCCACTGACCCCCCCAGCCCCACTGACCCTCCCTGCCCCACTGACCCCTCCCCCCGCCCCCCAGCCCCCCCCAGCCCCACTGACCCCCCCCCCGCCCCACAGACCCCCCCCCCCCCCGCCCCACAGCCCCCCCAGCCCCCCAGCCCCCACAGCCCCACAGCTCCCCCCCAGCCCCACTGACCCCTCCGCGCCCCAGCCCCCCACAGCCCCACAGCCCCACTGACCCCCTGCAGCCCCATAGCCCCACAGCCCCCCCCAGCCCCACAGCCCTTCTTCAGCCCCACAGCCCCACTGACCCCTCCCCCCGCCCCACAGCCCCACAGCCCCACTGACCCCCTCCAGCCCCACAGCCCCCCCGCCCCACAGCCCCCCACAGCCCCACAGCCCCCCCCCTCCCCACATCCCCCCCCTGCCCCACTGCCCCCCCCCGCCCCCCCGCCCCCTAGCCCCCCCGCCCCACTGACCCCCAGCCCCCCCCCAGCCCCACTGACCCCCTACAGCCCCCCAGCCCCCCCCGCTGCCCCACTGCCCCCCTCCAGCCCCACAGCCCCCCCCGCCCCCTAGCCCCCCTGCCCCACTGCCCCCCGCTGCCCTGCTGCCCCACACCCCCCACAGCCCCACAGCTCCCCCCCGCCCCCCAGCCCCCCCCCCCCGCCCCACATCCCCCCTCAGCCCCCCTGACCCCACAGCCCCACAGCCCCCCCAGCCCCACTGACCCCTCTGTGCCCCAGCCCCGCCAGCCCCACAGCCCCACAGCCCCACTGACCCCCTGCAGCCCCAGAGCCCCCCAGCCCCCCCCGCCCCACTGCCCCCCCCAGCCCCACAGCCCCACAGCCCCCCCCCAGCCCCACATCCCCCCACAGCCCCTCCAGCCCCCCCCCGCCCCACATCCCCTCCCTGCCCCACATCCCCCCCCCGCCCCCCTGACCCCCGCCCCGTGCCCCCAGGAGAAGGAGATGGAGAAGCAGAAGCTGCGGCACCAACAGGCGCGGCTGCACTCGCGGGGGGCGGCCGAGATGGTTCTGCAGATGATCAGCGCCTGCAGGGGTGCGGCGCGGGCGCTGGGGGGCGCTGGGGGGCTCTGTGGGGCCTATGGGGCTCTATGGGGCTCTATGGGGCTCTATGGGGCTCTATGGGGCCTATGGGGCTGGGCTGGGCTCTGTGGGGATGGGCTGGGCTCTATGGGGCTCTATGGGGCTGGGCTCTATGGGGCTCTATGGGGCCTATGGGGTCTGTGGGGCTGGGCTCTGTGGGGCTCTGTGGGGCCTATGGGCTCTGTGGGGCTGGGCTCTATGGGGCTCTATGGGGCGCTGTGGGGCTGGGATCTATGGGGCGCTGTGGGGCTGGGATGGGCTCTATGGGGCTGGGCTGGGCGCTATGGGGCTCTATGGGGCCTATGGGGCTGGGATCTATGGGGCGCTGTGGGGCTGGGATGGGCTCTATGGGGCCTATGGGGGCTCTATGGGGCTGGGCTGGGCGCTGTGGGGCTCTGTGGGGCTGGGCTGGGCTCTGTGGGGCGCTGTGGGGCTGGGCTGGGCTCTATGGGGCTGGGCTGGGCTCTATGGGGCTCTATGGGGCCTATGGGGCTCTATGGGGCTGGGTCCCATGGGGCTCTATGGGGCTGGGGTCCATGGGGGGTCCCCTAGGGCTCTATGGGGCTGGGTCCCATGGGGCTCTATGGGGCTGGGCTGGGCGCTATGGGGCCTATGGGGCTGGGATCTATGGGGCGCTGTGGGGCTGGGATGGGCTCTATGGGGCCTATGGGGGCTCTATGGGGCTGGGCTGGGCGCTGTGGGGCTCTGTGGGGCTGGGCTGGGCTCTGTGGGGCGCTGTGGGGCTGGGCTGGGCTCTATGGGGCTGGGCTGGGCGCTATGGGGCTCTGTGGGGCTGGGCTCTATGGGGCCTATGGGGTCTGTGGGGCTGGGCTTGGCTCTATGGGGCTGGGCTCTGTGGGGCTGGGCTCTATGGGGCCTATGGGGTCTGTGGGGCTGGGCTGGGCTCTGTGGGGCTCTATGGGGCTGGGCTGGGCTCTGTGGGGCTGGGCTGGGCCCTATGGGGCCTGTGGGGCCCATGGGGTCTGTGGGGCTGGGCTGGGCTCTGTGGGGCTCTATGGGGCTGGGCTGGGCTCTGTGGGGCTGGGCTGGGCCCTATGGGGCCTGTGGGGCCCATGGGGTCTGTGGGGCTGGGCTGGGCTCTGTGGGGCCTGTGGGGTGTGGGGGGCTGGGCTGGGCTCTGTGGGGCTGGGCTGGGCTCTGTGGGGCCTGTGGGGTGTGGGGGGTGTGGGGCTGGGCTGGGCTCTATGGGGCCTGTGGGGTGTGGGGCGTGTGGGGCTGGGCTGGGCTCTTTGGGGCTGGGCTGGGCTCTATGGGGCTCTGTGGGGCCCGTGGGGTGTGGGCGCTGTGGGGCTGGGCTGGGCTCTGTGGGGCTCTGTGGGGCCCGTGGGGTGTGGGCGCTGTGGGGCTGGGCTGGGCTCTGTGGGGCCCATGGGGTATGGGGGGTGTGGAGTGTGTGGAGTCTATGGGGCTGGGGTTGGGTCTGTGGGGCTGGGCTGGGGTCTGTGGGGTCTATGGGGTCTATGGGGTGTGTGGGGTGTGTGGGGCCTATGGGGTCTGTGGGGCTGGGGTGGGGTCTGTGGGGTCTATGGGGTGTGGGGTGTGTGGGGCTGGGCTGGGGTCTGTGGGACCTATGGGGTGTGGGGTGTGTGGGGTGTGTGGAGTCTATGGGGCTGGGCTGGGGTCTGTGGGGCCTATGGGGTCTGTGGGGCCTATGGGGTCTATGGGGCCTATGGGGTCTGTGGGGCTGGGCTGGGGTCTGTGGGACCTATGGGGTGTGTGGGGTCTATGGGGTGGATGGGCTGTGGGTCATTATGGGCTGTGCTCATTATGGGCTGTGGGTCCTTATGGGCTGTGGTTATTATGGGCTGTGGTTATTATGGGCTGTGGTTATTATGGGCTGTGGGGTTATTATGGGATGTGGGTCGTTATGCGCTGTGGTTATTATGGGATGTGTGGTTATTATGGGCTGTGGGGTTATTATGGGATGTGGGTCGTTATGCGCTGTGGTTATTATGGGCTGTGGTTATTATGGGCTGTGGGGTTATTATGGGATGTGGGTCATTATGGGCTGTGGTTATTATGGGATGTGGGGTGCTATGGGGTGTGTGGTTATTATGGGATGTGTGGTTATTATGGGCTGTGGTTATTATGGGATGTGGGGTGCTATGGGGTGTGTGGTTATTATGGGATGTGGGGTGCTATGAGCTGTGGGTCCTTATGGGCTGTGGTTATTATGGGCTGTGGGTCGTTATGAGCTGTGTGGTTATTATGTGCTGGGGTCCTTACGCGCTGCGGCCGTGGGGCCGCTCTGCGCAGGCGAGCGCGGGGCCATGGTCTCCTCCACGCTCAAGCTGGGGATCTCCATCCTCAACGGCGGCAACGCGGACGTGCAGCAGGTACCGGGCACCCGCGGGTCATGCGTGGTCATACGTGTGCCATGTGTGTTCATGCGTGTGCACCATGCGTGTTCATGGGTGTTCATGCGTGTTCATACGTGTGCACCATGGGTGGTCATGCGTGTTCATGGGTGTTCATACGTGTGCCATGTACGTTCCATGTATGTTCCATGTACATTCCATGTATGTTCCATGTATGTTCCTCACGTGTTCCATATATGTTCCATGTATGTTCCATGTGTATCCATGTACGTTCCATGTACGTTCCATGTATGTTCCATGTATGTTCCATGTACATTCCATGCATGTTCCTCACATGTTCCATGCATGTTCCATGTATGTTCCATGTACATTCCATGTATGTTCCATGTATATTCCTCACGTGTTCCATATATGTTCCATGTATGTTCCATGTGTATCCATGTACGTTCCAAGTACGTTCCATGCATGTTCCATGTATGTTCCATGTACATTCCATGTACGTTCCATGTACGTTCCATGTGTGTTCCATGTATGTTCCATGTATGTTCCATGTGTGTTCCGTGTATGTTCCATGTATGTTCCATGTGTGTTCCTCATGTGTTCCTCACATGTTCCATGTATGTTCCATGTACGGTCCATGTATGTTCCTCACGTGTTCCTCACGTGTTCCTCACCTGTTCCTCACGTGCTCCTCACGTGTTCCTCACATGTTCCTCACATGTTCCTCACATGTTCCATGTGTGTTCCTCACGTGTTCCACGCGTGCCCCACAGAAAATGCTGGATTACCTGAAGGAGAAGCGCGAGGTCGGCTTCTTCCAGAGCCTCCAGGCCCTGATGCAGACCTGCAGGTGGGGCTGCCCCATAGCGACGCCACCGACCCCATGGCGATGGGGGGGACCCGCGGGAATGGGGGGGTTGGGATGGGGTCCATGGGGGGGGCAATGGGGGAGAGGTTGGGGGTCAATGGGGTCAATGGGGGGGTCAATGGGGGGGTCAGTGGGGGCTCAATGGGGGTTTAATGGGGGTTTAATGGGGAAGTCAATGGGGGTCTCAGTGGGGGGTCTCAGTGGGGGGGTCAATGGGGGGGTCAATGGGGGGGGATCAATGGGGGCCAATGGGGGGGTCAATGGGGGGGAGGTTGGGGGTCAATGGGTGGGGTTGGGGTCAATGGGGGGGGTTGGGGTCAATGGGGGGGGTTGGGGTCCATGGGGGTTGGGGGTCAATGGGTGGGGGTTGGGGGTCAATGGGGGGGGTTGGGTCCCATGGGTGGGGGTTGGGGTCAATGGGGGGGTGGGGGTCAATGGGTGGGGGTTGGGGGTCAATGGGGGGGGTTGGGGTCAATGGGGGGGTTGGGGTCAATGGGGGGGTTGGGGGTCAATGGGGGGGTTGGGGTCAATGGGGGGGGGTTGGGGTCAATGGGGGGGGTTTGGGGTCAATGGGGGGGGTTGGGGTCAATGGGGGTGGGGGCTGGGGGTCAATGGGGGGGGTTGGGGGTCAATGGGGGGGGGGGGGGGGTCAATGGGGGGGTTGGGGGTCAATGGGGGGGGTCAATGGGGGGGAGGTTGGGGGTCAATGGGTGGGGTTGGGGTCAATGGGGGGGGTTGGGGGTCAATGGGGGGGGTTGGGGGTCAATGGGGGGGGGTTGTGTCCCATGGGGGGGTTGTGGTCCATGGGGGGGGGTTGGGGGTCAATGGGTGGGGGTTGGGGTCAATGGGGGGGTGTTGGGGGTCAATGGGGGGGGGTTGGGGGTCAATGGGGGGGGGTTGGGGGTCAATGGGGGGGGTTGGGGGTCAATGGGGGGGAGGTTGGGGGTCAATGGGGGGGGTTGGGGTCAATGGGGTGGGGGTTGGGGTCAATGGGGGGGTTGGGGGTCAATGGGGGGGGTTGGGGGTCAATGGGGGGGGTTGGGGTCAATGGGTGGGGGTTGGGGGTCAATGGGGGGGGGTTGGGGGTCAATGGGGGGGGGGTTGGGGTCAATGGGGGGGGGTTGGGGTCAATGGGGGGGGTGGGGGTTGGGTCCCATGGGTGGGGGTTGGGGTCAATGGGGGGGGTTGGGGGTCAATGGGGGGGGTTGGGGTCAATGGGGGGGTCAATGGGGGGGAGGTTGGGGGTCAATGGGGGGGTCAATGGGGGGGGGTCAATGGGGGGGGGGGGTTGGGGGTCAATGGGGGGGTTGGGGGTCAATGGGGGGGTGCTTGGGGTCAATGGGGGGGGTTGGGGTCAATGGGGGGGTGTTTGGGGTCAATGGGGGGGTTGGGGGTCAATGGGGGGGGTTGGGGGTCAATGGGTGGGGGTTGGGGTCAATGGGTGGGGGTTGGGTCCCATCCTGCCCCTCCCCCCAGCGTCCTGGACCTCAACGCCTTCGAGCGGCAGAACAAGGCCATGGGGCTGGGCATGGTGTCCGAGGACGGCACCAGTGAGTGGCACCCACAGCACCCACAGCACCCATAGCACCCATAGCACCCATAGCACCCATAGGAACCCATAGCACCCATAGCACCCATAGCACCCATAGCACCCATAGCACCCACAGCACCCATAGCACCCATAGCACCCATAGCACCCATAGCACCCATAGGAACCCATAGCACCCATAGGAACCCATAGCACCCATAGCACCCATAGCACCCATAGCACCCACAGCACCCATAGCACCCATAGCACCCACAGCACCCACAGCACCCATAGCACCCATAGCACCCATAGCACCCATAGCACCCACAGCACCCATAGCACCCATAGCACCCATAGCACCCATAGCACCCATAGCACCCATAGCACCCATAGCACCCATAGCACCCATAGCACCCACAGCACCCATAGCACCCATAGCACCCATAGCACCCATAGCACCCACAGCACCCATAGCACCCATAGCACCCATAGCACCCATAGCACCCATAGCACCCATAGCACCCATAGCACCCATAGCACCCATAGCACCCACAGCACCCATAGCACCCATAGCACCCATAGCACCCATAGCACCCACAGCACCCATAGCACCCATAGCACCCACAGCACCCATAGCACCCATAGCACCCATAGCACCCATAGCACCCATAGCACCCACAGCACCCATAGCACCCACAGCACCCATAGCACCCATAGCACCCATAGCACCCACAGCACCCATAGCACCCATAGCACCCATAGCACCCATAGCACCCACAGCACCCATAGCACCCATAGCACCCATAGCACCCATAGCACCCATAGCACCCATAGCACCCACAGCACCCATAGCACCCATAGCACCCATAGCACCCATAGCACCCATAGCACCCATAGCACCCACAGCACCCACAGCACCCACAGCACCCATAGCACCCATAGCACCCACAGCACCCATAGCACCCATAGCACCCATAGCACCCATAGCACCCATAGCACCCACAGCACCCATAGCACCCACAGCACCCACAGCACCCACAGCACCCATAGCACCCATAGCACCCATAGCACCCACAGCACCCACAGCACCCATAGCACCCACAGCACCCATAGCACCCATAGCACCCATAGCACCCACAGCACCCACAGCACCCACAGCACCCACAGCACCCACAGCACCCATAGCACCCATAGCACCCACAGCACCCACAGCACCCATAGCACCCATAGCACCCATAGCACCCATAGCACCCACAGCACCCACAGCACCCACAGCACCCATAGCACCCATAGCACCCATAGCACCCATAGCACCCATAGCACCCACAGCACCCACAGCACCCACAGCACCCACAGCACCCACAGCACCCATAGCACCCATAGCACCCATAGCACCCATAGCACCCATAGCACCCATAGCACCCATAGCACCCATAGCACCCACAGCACCCACAGCACCCATAGCACCCACAGCACCCACAGCACCCACAGCACCCACAGCACCCACAGCACCCACAGCACCCATAGCACCCATAGCACCCACTACACCCACAGCACCCATAGCACCCACAGCACCCATGAGACCCCCACACCCCACAGCTCCCTATGGGACCCAGGGGGCCAAGGGGTGGAACTGGGGGTCCCCATCGCTACGCTGCTGCCCCCCAACCCAGCCCTGCTGTGAATGACCCCAGCCCCACTGATCCCCCCCAGCCCCACTGATCCCCCCCCAGCCCCACTGATCCCCCCCAGCCCCACTGATCCCCCCCAGCCCCACTGATCCCCCCAGCCCCACTGATCCCCCCCAGCCCCACTGATCCCCCCAGCCCCACTGATCCCCCCCCAGCCCCACTGATCCCCCCCAGCCCCACTGATCCCCCCCAGCCCCACTGATCCCCCCCAACCCCATTGATAACCCCAGCCCCACTGATCCCCCCCAGCCCCACTGATCCCACCCACCCCATTGATAACCCCAACCCCACTGATCCCCCCCAGCCCCACTGATCCCCCCCAGCCCCACTGATTCCCCCCAGCCCCACTGATCCCCCCCCAGCCCCACTGATCCCCCCCAGCCCCACTGATCCCCCCCAGCCCCACTGATCCCCCCAGCCCCACTGATCCCCCCAGCCCCACTGATCCCCCCAGTCCCACTGATCCCCCCCAGCCCCACTGATCCCCCCCCAGCCCCACTGATCCCCCCCAGCCCCACTGATCCCCCCAGCCCCACTGATCCCCACCCCATTGATCCCACCCACCCCATTGATAACCCCAGCCCCACTGATCCCCCCCAGCCCCACTGATCCCCCCAGCCCCACTGATCCCCCCCAGCCCCACTGATCCCCCCAGCCCCATTGATCCCCCCCAGCCCCACTGATCCCCCCCAGCCCCACTGATCCCCCCAGCCCCACTGATCCCCCCAGCCCCCGTGTTCCCCCCAGCCCCACTGATCCCCCCCAGCCCCACTGATCCCCCCCAGCCCCACTGATCCCCCCAGCCCCACTGATCCCCCCAGCCCCACTGATCCCCACCCCATTGATCCCCCCCACCCCATTGACCCCAAACCCCATTGACCCCCAAACCCCACTGAACCCCCCCAAACCCCACTGATCCCTCCCCACCCCATTGATCCCCCCCTACCCCATTGATCCCCCCCACCCCATTGACCCCAAACCCCACTGATCCCCCCCAACCCCACTGATCCCTCCCCACCCCATTGATCCCCCCCACCCCATTGATCCCCCAAACACCATTGATCCCCTCCAACCCCATTGACCCCCCCCACCCCATTGATCCCCCCCCACCCCATTGACCCCCCCCACCCCATTGACCCCCCCACCCCATTGACCCCAAACCCCATTGATCCCCCCCACACCATTGACCCCAAACCCCACTGAACCCCCCCAAACCCCACTGATCCCTCCCCACCCCATTGATCCCCCCCCTACCCCATTGACCCCCCTCCACCCCACTGATCCCCACCCCATTAATCCCCCCTACCCCATTGATCCCCCCACCCCATTGACCCCAAACCCCACTGATCCCCCACCAACCCCACTGATCCCTCCCCACCCCATTGAACCCCCCCACCCCATTGATTCCCCCCACCCCATTGACCCTCCCCACCCCACTGATCCCCAAACCCCATTGATCCCCCCCACCCCATTGATCCCCCCCACCCCATTGATCCCCCCCACCCCATTGACCCCCACCCCATTGACCCCCCCGACCCCATTGATCCCCCCACCCCATTGACCCCCACACCCCATTGACCCCTCCCCACCCCATTGATCCCCCCCCACCCCATTGATTCCCCCCACCCCATTGATCCCCCAAACCCCATTGATCCCCTCCCACCCCATTGACCCCCCCCCACCCCATTGATCCCCCCCACCCCATTGATCCCCCCCCTCTCACCTCCTCTCTCCCTTCTCTTCCCACCCTGGCTCCTGGTGCAGTCAGCAGAGACAATGGTAACTACCATCCCTGGGCTATGGGGCTATGGGGCTGCTATGGGGCTATGGGGCTATGGGGGGCTATGGGGTTAATGGGTGGGGGCAATGGGGCTATGGGGGGTATGGGGGGCTATGGGGGCTATGGGGGCTATAGGGGGCTAAAGGGGCTATGGGCGCTATGGGGGTTATAGGGGCTATGGGGGCTATGGGGGCTATGGGGCTATGGGGCTGCTATGGGGCTATGGGGCGTATGGGGGCTATGGGGCTATGTGGGCTATGGGGCTATGGGGGGTATAGGGGGTATGGGGGGTATGGGGGGTATGGGGGTATGGGGGCTATGGGGGCTATGGGGCTGCTATGGGGCTATGGGGCGTATGGGGGCTATGGGGCTATGTGGGCTATGGGGGGTATGGGGGCTATGGGGGCTATGGGGCTATAGGGGGATATAGGGGGCTATGGGAGTATGGGGGGCTATGGGGGATATAGGGGGATATAGGGGCTATGGGGGGTATGGGGGTATAGGGGGTATGGGGGGCTATAGGAGGCTATGGGTGGGTATGGGGGGCTATGGGGGCTAGGGGCTATGGGGGCTATAGGGGTGGGGGGCACCCAGGCGTGTTATGGGGGCTATAGGGGCTATGGGGGCTATAGGGACTATGGGGGCTATAGGGGCTATATGGTGCTATAGGGGCTATAGGGGCTATTGGGGGATATGGGGGGTATAGGGGCTATGGGGGCTATAGGGGGCTATAGGGGCTATGGGGCCTATAGGGGGCTATAATGGTTATGGCATCTCTAGGGGGCTATAGGGGCTATGGGGCCTATAGGGGCTACAGGGGTTATGGCATCTCTAGGGGGCTATAGGGGCTATAGGGTCTATGGGTCAATAGGGGGGCCCCACAGTGTCTATGGGGTGTCCCTGCCTGTCCCCCCATTGCCTGGTCCTGCTTGTGCCCCCCTGGTCCTGCTGCCTCCCCCCCCAAGCTAACAGCCTGCACCCTATGGGGTCCCCATTGTCCCCTATGGGGTCCCCATTGTCCTCTATGGGTCCCCATTGTCCTCTATGGGGTCCCCATTGTCTCCTATGGGGTCCCCATTGTCACCCTATGGGGTCCCCGCTGTCTCCTATGGGGTCCCCATTGTCTCTATGGGTCCCCGCTGTCTCTATGGGTCCCGCTGTCTCTATGGGTCCCCGCTGTCTCTATGGGTCCCGCTGTCTCTATGGGTCCCCATTGTCTCTATGGGTCCCCGCTGTCTCTATGGGTCCCCACTGTCTCCATGGGTCCCCATTGTCTCTATGGGTCCCCATTGTCTCTATGGGTCCCCATTGTCTCTATGGGTCCCGCTGTCTCTATGGGTCCCCACTGTCTCTATGGGTCCCCATTGTCTCTATGGGTCCCGCTGTCTCTATGGGTCCCCATTGTCTCTATGGGTATGGGGTCCCTATGGGTCCCCGTTGTCTCTATGGGTCCCCATTGTCTCTATGGGTCCCCGCTGTCTCTATGGGTCCCCGCTGTCTCTATGGGTCCCGCTGTCTCTATGGGTCCCCATTGTCTCTATGGGTCCCCGCTGTCTCTATGGGTCCCCATTGTCTCTATGGGTCCCCATTGTCTCTATGGGTCCCCATTGTCTCTATGGGTCCCCATTGTCTCTATGGGTCCCGCTGTCTCTATGGGTCCCCACTGTCTCTATGGGTCCCCATTGTCTCTATGGGTCCCTGCTGTCTCTATGGGTCCCTGCTGTCTCTATGGGTCCCCATTGTCTCTATGGGTCCCGCTGTCTCTATGGGTCCCCATTGTCTCTATGGGTCCCCGCTGTCTCTATGGGTCCCGCTGTCTCTATGGGTCCCGCTGTCTCTATGGGGCCCCCTCCCCACGCTCTCTATGGGGCGCCCTAGGGGAGAAGGTGATGGCCGATGATGAGTTCACCCAGGACCTCTTCCGGCTGCTGCAGCTGCTCTGCGAGGGCCACAACAACGGTGAGGGGCTCCCGCTATGGGGCTGGGTTGTGGGGCTGGGTTATGGGGCTGGGTTATGGGGCTGGGTTGTGGGGCAGGGCTATGGGGCAGGGCTATGGGGCTGGGTTACGGGGCTGGGTTATGGGGCAGGGCTATGGGGCTGGGCTATGGGGCTCGGTTATGGGGCTGGGCTATGGGGCAGGGCTATGGGGCAGGGCTATGGGGCAGGGCTGTGGGGCTCGGTTATGGGGCTGGGCTATGGGGCAGGGTTATGGGGCAGGGCTATGGGGCTGGGTTATGGGGCAGGGCGATGGGGCAGGGCTATGGGGCTGGGTTATGGGGCAGGGCTATGGGGCAGGGCTATGGGGCAGGGCTGTGGGGCTGGGTTGTGGGGCTGGGTTATGGGGCAGGGCTATGGGGCTGGGCTATGGGGCTGGGCTATGGGGCAGGGCTATGGGGCTGGGTTATGGGGCTGGGTTATGGGGCAGGGCTATGGGGCAGGGCTATGGGGCTGGGCTATGGAGCTGGGTTATGGGGCTGGGCTATGGGGCTGGGCTATGGGGCTGGGCTATGGGGCAGGGCTATGGGGCTGGGTTATGGGGCTCGGTTATGGGGCAGGGCTATGGGGCTGGGTTATGGGACTCGGTTATGGGGCTCGGTTATGGGGCAGTGCTATGGGGCAGGGCTATGGGGCAGCGCTGACCCCGTCGCCCCCCAGACTTCCAGAACTACCTCCGGACGCAGACGGGGAACACGACCACCATCAACATCATCATCTGCACCGTGGACTACCTGCTGCGCCTGCAGGTGCCGTGGGGCCCACGGGGACCCATTGGGACCCATTGGGACCCATTGGGACCCATAGAGACACATAGAACCGATAGAACTCATAGTTCCCCATAGAGCCCCATAGAGCCCCATAGCACCCTATAGTTCCCCATAGCGCCCCATAGACACCCATAGAGACCCATAGGGACCATAGCGCCCCATAGTGCCCCATAGAGACTCACAGCGCCCCATAGAGACACATAGAGACACATAGGGACCCATAGAGCCCATAGAGCCCCATAGAGCCCCATAGGGACCCATAGAGACCCATAGTGCCCCATAGCGCCCCATAGAGACCCATGGAACCCATAGGGACACATAGAGACCCATGGATCCCATAGAGACCCATAGAGACGCATGGCACCCATAGAGACCAATGGCACCCATCGAGCCCCATAGGGACCATAGCGCCCCATAGCGCCCCATAGTGCCCCATAGCGCCCCATAGAGACCCATGGAACCCATAGGGACCCATAGAGACCCATGGATCCCATCGAGACCCATAGAGACCGATGGCACCCATAGAGCCCCATAGGGACCATAGCGCCCCATAGCGCCCCATAGCGTCCCATAGAGACCCATGGAACCCATAGAGACCCATGGCATCCATAGAGACCGATGGCACCCATAGAGACCCATGGCACCCATAGCGCCCCATAGCGCCCCATAGTGCCCCATAGCGCCCCATAGCGCCCCATAGTGCACCATAGCGCCCCATAGCGCCCCATAGAGACACATGGCACCCATAGAGACCGATGGCACCCATAGAGCCCCATGGCACCCATAGAGGCCCATAGGGACCATAGCGCCCCATAGCGCCCCATAGGGACCATAGCACCCCACAGCGCCCCATAGCGCCCCACAGCGCCCCATAGCGCCCCACAGCGCCCCACAGCGCCCCAGCGCCCCATAGCGCCCCACAGCGCCCCACAGCGCCCCATAGCGCCCCACAGCGCCCCACAGCGCCCCACAGCGCCCCATAGCGCCGATGCTCTGTGGGTCCGGCAGGAGTCCATCAGTGATTTCTATTGGTACTACTCGGGCAAGGAGGTGATCGACGAGCACGGGAAGCGGAACTTCTCCAAGGCCATGGCCGTGGCCAAGCAGGTCTTCAACAGCCTCACCGAGTACATCCAGGTGCGACCCACAGAGACCCACGGAGACCCATAGCGACCCACAGCGACCATAGGGACCCATAGGGACACATAGAGACACATAGAGACACATAGAGAGCCATAGAGACACATAGGGACACATAGGGACACATAGAGACACATAGGGACACATAGGGACACATAGAGACACATAGGGACACATAGGGACACATAGAGACACATAGGGACACATAGAGACACATAGGGACACATAGAGACACATAGGGACACATAGGGACACATAGAGACACATAGAGACACATAGAGACACATAGGGACACATAGAGACCCATAGGGACACATAGGGACCCATAGGGACACATAGGGACACATAGAGACACATAGAGACACATAGGGACACATAGGGACACATAGGGACACATAGAGACACATAGAGACACATAGGGACACATAGGGACACATAGGGACACATAGGGACACATAGGGACACATAGGGACCCATAGAGACCCATAGGGACCCATAGAGACACATAGGGACCCATAGAGACACATAGGGACACATAGGGACACATAGGGACCCATAGGGACACATAGGGACACATAGGGACCCATAGAGACCCATAGGGACCCATAGAGACACATAGGGACACATAGAGACACATAGGGACACATAGGGACACATAGAGACCCACGGCGCCCCACGGCGACCCATAGGGACACATAGGGACACATAGAGACCCACAGCGACCCATAGGGACCCATAGCAACCCACAGCAACCCATAGAGACCCATAGTGACCATAGCGACCATAGCGACCCATAGTGACACATAGGGACCCATAGCACCCCAGAGCGACCCATAGAGACCCATAGTAACCATAGCAACAATAGCGACCATAGGGACCCATAGCAACCATAGGGACCATAGCAACCCATAGCGACACATAGGGACCATAGGGACCCATAGAGACTGACCCATAGCGACCATAGTGACCCATAGCGACCATAGCGACCATAGGGACCCATAGCGACCATAGCAACCTATAGAGAACCATAGTGACCATAGCGACCCATAGCGACCATAGGGACCCATAGCGACCATAGCAACCTATAGAGAACCATAGTGACCATAGCGACCCATAGCGACCATAGGGACCCATAGCGACCATAGGGACCCATAGCAACCCATAGCGACACATAGAGACCCACAGTGACCATAGCAACCCTAGCGACCATAGCGACCCATAGCAACACATAGGGACCATAACAACCCATAGAGACCCATAGTGACCATAGCGACCCATAGCGACCATAGGGACCCATAGCGACCCATAGACACGGACCCATAGACACCATGGGACCCATAGATACCATGGACCCCAGGGGTCCCCAAAGACCTTGGTGGCCCTGGGATGTCCCCACTGACCCCCATTGACCCCCATTGACCCCCATGTCCCCATTGACCCCCATTGACCCCCATTGACCCCCATGTCCCCATTGCCCCATTGCCCCCATTCCCCCCATTCCCCCCATAGCCCCCATTGCCCCCCATGTCCCCATTGCCCCCCATGTCCCCATTGCCCCCATTGCCCCCCATTGCCCCATTGCCCCCATCGCCCCCATTGCCCCCATCGCCCCCATTGCCCCCATTGCCCCCATCGCCCCCATTGCCCCCATTGCCCCCACTGCCCCATTGCCCCCATCGCCCCCATTGCCCCCATTGCCCCATAGCCCCCATAGCCTCCATAATCCCCATAGCCCCCATACCCCCCATGTCCCCATTCCCCCCCATGTCCCCATTGCCCCCATTGCCCCCATTGCCCCCATTGCCCCCCATGTCCCCATTGCCCCCATTGCCCCCATTGCCCCCATAGCCCCCATTGCCCCATTGCCCCCATTGCCCCCCATAGCCCCATTGCCCCCATAGCCCCCATTGCCCCCCATTGCCCCATAGCCCCCATACCCCCCATAGCCCCCCCCCATACCCCCCATAGCCCCCATACCCCCCATAGCCCCCATACCCCCCATAGCCCCCATACCCCCCATAGCCCCCATACCCCCCATAGCCCCCATAGCCCCCATAGCCCCATAGCCCCCCATAGCCCCCATCGCCCCCATCGCCCCCATGTCCCTGGGCCGCCCCACAGGGCCCGTGCACGGGGAACCAGCAGAGCCTGGCCCACAGCCGCCTCTGGGACGCCGTCATCGGCTTCCTCCACGTCTTCGCCCACATGATGAAGAAACTGGCCCAGGTGGCAGTGGGGCAGTGGGGGGCTATGGGGGGCTATGGGGCAATGGGGGCTATGGGGGCTATGGGGCAATGGGGGGTATGGGGGTATGGGGGTTATGGGGGGTATGGGGGCTATGGGGGCTATGGGGGGGGATGGGGCTATGGGGGCTATGGGGCTATGGGGGGCAATGGAGGCAATGGGGGGCAATGGGGGGTCTGGGGGCAATGGGGGAAATGGGGGGAATGGGGGGCAATGGGGCAATGGGGAGAATGGGGGCTATGGGGCTATGGGGGCAATGGGGGCTATGGGAAGGTAATGGAGGCTATGGGGGCTATGGGGGCTATGGGGGCTATGGGGGCTATGGGGGCTATGGGGGGTATGGGGGCTATGGGGGCTATGGGGGCTATGGGGCTATGGGGGCTATGGGGCTATGGGGCCATGGGGGCTATGGGGCTATGGGGCAGTGGGGGGTATGGGGGCTATGGGGGCTATGGGGCTATGGGGCAATGGGGGCAATGGGGGCAATGGGGGCAATGGGTGCTATGGAGGCTATGGGCAATGGGGGGCAATGGGGGTCAGTGGGGGCAATGGGGCTATGGGGGCAATGGGGGCAATGGGGGGCAATGGGGCTATGGGGCTATGGGGGGGCAATGGGGGCTATGGGGCAATGGGGGGCATGGGGCAATGGGGGCAATGGGGCAATGGGGCAATGGGGCTATGGGGGGAAATGGGGGGAATGGGGGCTATGGGGCAATGGGGGCTATGGGGGCTATGGGGCTATGGGAGCTATGGGGCAATGGGGGGCAATGGGGGGCAATGGGGGGCAATGGGGGGCAATGGGGCAATGGGGGCTATGGGGCTATGGGGCAATGGGGGCAATAGAGGCAATGGGGGCAATGGGGCTCAATGGGGTCAATGGCACTCACGGTGCCCCCCATTGCCCCCCATTGCCCCCCAGCACTCCAGCCAGATCGAGCTGCTGAAGGAGCTGCTGGACCTGCAGAAGGACATGGTGGTGATGCTGCTGTCCCTGCTGGAGGGTGCGCCCATGGCTCCGCCCCCTCCCGCCAACAGCCAATGGGCAGGGGGGACCCCGTTCCCGTCAGCCAGAGCCGGGGGGGCAGGCCCCATGGGGCACCCAAAGGGGTCATGGAGCACCCAAGGGGTCCATGGAGCACCCAAGGGGTCATTGAGCACCCAAGGGGTCATTGAGCACCCAAGGGGTCCATGGAGCACCCAAGGGGTCATTGAGCACCCAAGGGGTCATTGAGCACCCAAGGGGTCATTGAGCACCCAAGGGGTCCATGGAGCACCCAAGGGGGTCATTGAGCACCCAAGGTGTCATTGACCACCCAAGGTGCCCCTTGACCACCCAAGGTGTCATTGACCACCCAAGGTGCCCCTTGACCACCCAAGGTGTCATTGACCACCCAAGGTCTCATTGACCACCCAAGGTCTCATTGACCACCCAAGGTGTCATTGACCACCCAAGGTGTCATTGACCACCCAACGCGCCCCTTGACCACCCAAGGTGCCCCTTGACCACCCAAGCTGTCGTTGACCACCCAACGTGCCCCTTGACCACCTATGGGATCCCTTGACCACCCAATGCGCCCCTTGACCACCCAAGGTGTCATTGACCACCCAAGATGCCCCTTGACCACCCAAGGTCTCATTGACCACCTATTGGATCTCTTGACCACCCAACGTGCCCCTTGACCAATCCAAGCTGTCATTGACCACCCAACGTGCCCCTTGACCACCTATGGGATCCCTTGACGTGCCCCTTGACCAATCCAAGCTGTCGTTGACCATCCAACGTGCCCCTTGACCACCCAAGCTGTCATTGACCACCCAAGGTCTCATTGACCACCCACCTTGCCCCTTGACCACCCAACGTGCCCCTTGACCACCTATGGGATCCCTTGACCACCCAAGGTGTCATTGGCCACCCAATGCGCCCCTTGACCACCCAAGCTGTCGTTGACCACCCAACGTGCCCCTTGACCACCTATGGGATCCCTTGACCACCCAAGGTGTCATTGACCACCCAAGCTGTCGTTGACCACCCAACGCACCCCTTGCCCCATCAAGGTCTCCCCCCACCCTTCCCCCTGCCCCCTCCCCTTTAGCCCCTCCCCTCCCTCCTTAACTTCTCAACCAATGCCCCCCAACCCCCCCCCATGGCCTCCTCCATTGATCCCTCACTCTGTGTCCCCCCCCCATAGGCAACGTGGTGAACGGCACCATCGCCCGGCAGATGGTGGACATGCTGGTGGAGTCCTCGGCCAACGTCACCATGATCCTCAAGTTCTTCGACATGTTCCTCAAGCTCCGCGACATCGTGGCCTCGGACGCCTTCCGCGCCTCCGTCACCGACCCGCGGGGCCTCATCTCCAAGAAGGACTTCCAGAAGGCCATGGACAACCAGAAACAGTTCGAAGCCGCCGAGATCCAGTTCCTGCTCTCGTGTTCCGAAGCCGACGAGAACGAAATGATCGACGTGGACGCCTTCGCCGGGCGCTTCCAAGAGCCGGCGCGCGACATCGGCTTCAACGTTGCCGTGCTCCTCACCAACCTGGCCGAGCACGTGCCCCACGACCAACGCTTGCGCACCTTCCTGGAGCAAGCTTCCAGCATCTTGGAGTACTTCCGTCCTTTCTTGGGTCGCATCGAGATCATGGGGGCGGCGCGACGCATCGAACGCCTTTACTTCGAGATCAGCGCCGCCAACAAGGCGCAGTGGGAGATGCCGCAGGTCAAGGAGTCCAAGCGACAATTCATCTTCGACGTGGTCAACGAGGGCGGCGAGGCCGAGAAGATGGAGCTCTTCGTGAGCTTCTGCGAGGACACCATCTTCGAGATGCAGATCGCGTCGCGGCTCTCCGAGGAGCGCGGCGCCGCGGCGCGTCAAGACGCGGACGCCGACGACGAAGAGGACGGGGAGGAAGGCGTCGAAGCGACGCCGTCGACGCCGGCCGCCGTCGGCCATCGTTGGTTGAGCGGCGTCTTCGGCTCGGCCAACGCGTGGCGACGGAGGTTGAGGCGCTGGAAGAGGAGCCCGGGGAGGGAGCTGTTGAGGGCGGTGGGGAGCGGGGCCGGGCGAGCGGCCGTGGGCACCGTAGGGGCGGCGTGGGGGGCGATGGGAGCTGTGGGGCGGCTGCTGTGGGTCTCGCTCTTCGGAGGGGGGCTGGTGGAAGGGGCGCAGCGCCTGGCGCTGGCCGAGGTGCTGGCCGACATGCCCGACCCAACGCAGGACGCAGTGGGGGGCGCAGTGGGGGGGGAGGATGTGGGGCGAGCCCCACAAGAAGCCGGCCCCATGGAGCAGCGCCAGGAGGTGAAGGAGGAGGAGGAGGAGGAGGAAGGGGAGGGGAAGGCCCCGGCGATGCCTTTTGGGGGGCCCAAGGAGCACCCGAGGGCGGCAGCGCTGGAGGCCGCCGGGGGGCTGGGGGACATCGGGGAGCCCCCCGGAGCAGAGCCCCCCACCCCCGAGGGCAGCCCCATGGCCCGCAGGAAGGGGAAGGTGAGTGTGGGGCAAGGGGGGGGGATGGGGATGGGGGGGATGGGGGGGGATATGGGGGGCTATGGGGGGCTATGGGGGGTTATGGGGGGGGCTATGGGGGGGGCTATGGGGTGAATGGGGGTCAATGGGGGGCTATGGGGGGCTATGGGGGGTTATGGGGTGGGGATATGGGGTGGGGCTATGGGGGGCTATGGGGATGGGGGGTATGGGGTGGGGCTATGGGGATGGGGGGATATGGGGTGGGGCTATGGGGTGGGGCTATGGGGATGGGGGGTATGGGGTGGGGCTATGGGGTGGGGCTATGGGGGGCTATGGGGATGGGGGGGTATGGGGTGGGGATATGGGGGGTTGTGGGGTGGGGCTATGGGGGGTTGTGGGGTGGGGCTATGGGGGGTTGTGGGGTGGGGATATGGGGGGTTATGGGGTGGGGCTATGGGGTGGGGATATGGGGTGGGGCTATGGGGGGTTATGGGGTGGGGCTATGGGGTGGGGCTATGGGGGGCTATGGGGATGGGGGGGATGGGGGGGATATGGGGGGCTATGGGGGGTTGTGGGGTGGGGCTATGGGGGGTTATGGGGTGGGGCTATTTGGGGCTATGGGGTGGGGCTATGGGGGGTTGTGGGGTGGGGCTATTTGGGGCTATGGGGTGGGGCTATGGGGGGCTATGGGGGGCTATGGGGTGGGGATATGGGGGGTTGTGGGGTGGGGATATGGGGGGCTATGGGGGGCTGTGGTGTGGGGCTATGGGGAGCTATGGGGTGGGGCTATGGGGTGCGGCTATGGGGTGAGGCTATGGGGGGTTATGGGGATGGGGGGTATGGGGTGGGGCTATGGGGGGCTATGGGGATGGGGGGCTATGGGGTGGGGCTATGGGGGGTTATGGGGTGGGGCTATGGGGGGCTATGGGGGGCTGTGGGGTGGGGCTATGGGGAGCTATGGGGTGGGGCTATGGGGGGCTATGGGGATGGGGCTATGGGGATCTATGGGGCTGGGTCTCTGGGGATCTATGGGTCAGAGCTGTGGGGCTGGGGCTATGGGGGATCTATGGGGCTGGGTCTCTGGGGGATCTATGGGTCAGAGCTGTGGGGCTGGGTCTCTGGGGGATCTATGGGTCAGAGCTGTGGGGCTGGGTCTATGGGGGATCTATGGGGCTGGGTCTCTGGGGGATCTATGGGTCAGAGCTGTGGGGCTGGGGCTATGGGGGATCTATGGGGCTGGGGCTATGGGGGATCTATGGGTCAGAGCTGTGGGGCTGGGGCGATGGGGGATCTATGGGGCTGGGTCTATGGGGCTGGGGCTATGGGGTCTCTGGGGATCTGTGGGTCAGAGCTGTGGGGCTGACGCGTGTGGGGCCGCAGGAGGATGGGGAGGAGGAGGTGGAGGAGCCGCAGCAGAAGGAGGAGAAGGAGGAGGCCGAGGAGGAGAAGGGCGAGTGAGTGGGGCAGGGGCAGCAGTGGGGCTCAGTGGGGTGGGGATGGGGGTCCAATGGGTGCCCCTGACCCCATTGGGTGCCCTTGGGTCCAATGGGTGCCCTTGGGTCCATTGGGTGCCCTTGGGTCCAATGGGTGCCCGTGGGTCCAATGGGTGCCCATGGGTCCAATGGGTGCTCCTGGACCCATTGGGTGCTCCTGGCCCCATTGGGTGCCCGTGGGTCCATTGGGTGCCCTTGGGTCCAATGGGTGCCCCTGACCCCATTGGGTGCCCATGGGTCCATTGGGTGCCCTTGGGTGACCCCATTGGGTGCCCTTGGGTCCAATGGGTGCCCGTGGGTCCATTGGGTGCCCCTGACCCCATTGGGTGCCCCTGACCCCATTGGGTGCCCTTGGGTCCATTGGGTGCTCCTGACCCCATTGGGTGCCCCTGACCCCATTGGGTGCCCGTTGCCCCATTGCATCCCCGTGCCCCCATTGAATCTATGGGGCACTTCCCTACCCCATTCCCATCCCCAGCCCCATTGACCCCATAGAACCCCCCCCACCCCCCTTTAACCACCCCCCCTCTGCCCCATAGCGCCGAGAACGGGGAGAAGGGCGGAGCCGAGGGGGGGCCCGATCCTGCCCCGCCCCCCAAGAGGAGCCAATCGGGGCCGAGGGTTCGCAAGGAGCCCCCCAGCGAGGGAACCTTCGAGCTCTGGGCCGAGCTCGAGGTCCAGAGGGTGAAGTTCCTGGTACGGGACCCCCAAGTGTGGGGCTGGGACCCACAAGTGTGGGGCTGGGACCCCCAAGTGCGGGGCTGGGCCCTCCTAGTGTGGGAATGGGACCCCCAAGTGTGGGGCTGGGACCCTCAAGTATGGGACTGAGACCTCCAAGTGTGGGGCTGGGCCTCCAAGTGTGGGGCTGGGACCCCCAAGTGTGGGGCAGGGACCTCCTAGTGTGGGAATGGGACCCCCAAGTGTGGGGTTGGGACCCCCAAGTATGGGACTGGGACCTCCAAGTGTGGGTCTGGGACCCCCAAGTATGGGGCTGAGACCCATAAGTGTGGGGTTGGGGCCCCCAAGTGTGGGAATGGGACTCCCAATTGTGGAGCTGGGATCCCCAAGTGTGGGGCTGG